TTTCGTGAATCTTTCTCTTTTTAAATTCATTGAAATTTTTTATTTATTTATTTATATTTTATTTCATGCTCTCGGTTAAATGCGTTGGAAAATTCATTTTCTCTCGATGATTTTCCTGACGCTATGAACGCACATCATCAGATTATTAAGACTTTTACCGTTAGTGTACATTATTCCTTAGTTTTGACAATTGTTTTTGATAGAATCTTTTCGTTCTGTTATGACATAGTAAAAGATCAGTATCACTAAAGCTTCGGTGGCCCCCTCTTATTTTCGATCCTTACAACTACAAATTAAACCTATACACATATGTATGTACGCGCATCTTGCAAAACATTCTCTCATCACAGTAGTAAGACTTCGCAGTGATACTGAGTTCGGTTTGTTCCGCTTTCATTCGTGCAGTTTCGTAGTCGTTCATACACACGTGATGATGCATAGCTAAATAAATACATACATGCAAATTAAAAAATTCTTCATCTACTGATAAAAAATGCCAATTTTTATACTAATATTTATATCTCTATAATATAACAACAGATTGTTATTTTATGAAAATGTAGTGCAAGAATATGATTGATTTGTTATTATGGAAAATTTAACTTCTACTAAAAATACGTAAATATATAAATCATTGTTCTTAAATAATTATTAATTACTTTATTTTCTTCGAATATTAACTTGTAATCAATTTAGACTACACATATATGTATATGTAAGTATTTTCGTGTGACATTATAGCATCATAGTATTTTCGATCGTAAATTGCATTGCAAATAAATATGTAAAATAGGCAGGAGTCAAAGTCAAATTCGTTGAACATAATTTTTGTATATTTATCTAGCAATTCGATATATGACTGCTTTATTAAAACATACAAGGGGTGAATGAAATTTATAATCAAATTAAATGTTATTAAGACCTTCTTCAATATCGAAGAATTTTCAAGAAAACGTTTAGTTCACTTTTACATAAGAATGTAAAATTTATAAACATAACAGAAAGTAGTGAGCGAGTAATCTTTTCTATTGTTGTTGAACGTTTTTCACACAAACACAGTGACATTAGAAGTGACCATGTTATATAAATATAGTTAAACAGACTAACAAGAAAGGCTTGCGCCTTCTTCGTTCTGTTCTTTCTCGTTTCATTCAATTTAATAAATACTCGGACAACGTTAAAATGGGCATTACATGTTTATTTATATCAGTAATAAATGTCTCACCTTTTAACCATGGATTAGTCTGCTTGACTGTGACGTTATCCTGGAAGCGTTTCATCGGTTTCGTTGATATTTTTGAGTAAAGATTTGACATCGCCATCGTCACTTTTCAAACTTGTTAAACGGTTTTTTCTGAATCGAAGCACCAAACAATTTTGGATTTCAGTTACATGGGCGCCATGTCAGACGGGCGCTGGTTAGATAGTTCCGCACGTCGGTCGATAGACGACAACTTGGGGCACGCGCGTCCATATATCGGGTGTTCTCTTGAAAAACCATACGCTATCGTCTGCGCATGATTCTTTTCCAGCAAAAAGACTGTTGTACATGTAGGGTGATTCAAGAATGATTCTAACATTTTTCTACATATGAAACGATGCGATCAAATTTGCTTATCGTCGACATCATCTTAGCATCGTACAAAGGCCGCTATTCTTAAACATTACCTTTTGAATTTTATGGAGGTGTCACCGAAATCGTATCGCACTTTTATCTTCGTCAATCCAGATCCATAGTGCATTCAATGGTACTATTCTTTGTTTCTTTATCTTGCCAGTATGTATTGTTCAGCCTGTTTAATTTCAAAGTAGACTCTAAACTGAACGAGCCAGAGAAAGATAGGTCCGCTCGAATGATTGATCCAATTTAGGTCGATCAGTCTAAATCAAACCAACCGACTTGATATCTTGTCAGTTCAAATATCTGGAATCGAATGCGCAAGGTACGTCCGATTCTTCGTCGTATTGATCCTGACCGGTGCAAGATCATTGTTCCATCACGAATAATAGATTCGTTATTTCCAAATGATATCCTGTCGCTTACACTCTTTACTCGATGACGTATATGTATATGTACCCATGCATTATTAGCCGTTATCGTCCACCTGATGCGGCTGTAGGAAGGTGGCCCCCTTCCCGGGGCTGTGGCAAGATGCGAGTTATATTTATTTATTATATTAACTTTCGATAAAGTTTTTATAAATAAATTCGATTACTAGATAAACATCGCTTATTTATGGAATACAATATTTGAATTATGAGAACAGCATTTAGAGGTATTCATTGTAGATAGCCGGTACCCGGTTGTACCCGATATTCGCGTACCATTAATTTTCATAAAAAGATTTTTTGCAATTTGTGTGCATCGCAATGATTATTTATTACAGATCCGTGTTTATACATCATGAGATTTGCAAATAAACTAGAATTTGGTGATAAAACCCATGAAGTATCCATGACCGCCATACGAGTTGTTCAAAGGATGAAGAGGGATAGCATTCACAGCGGACGGAAACCATCCGGATTGTGTGGAGCAGGTATAAATATTTATTATAAATAATATTGCGAATTATTCTATTTTATAATTTATTGTATGTGAATATTGTTTATTATGAAATAGCTTTGCTGATGGCTGCCCGGTTACATGAATTCAACAGGTCCCCCACAGATATTATCAAAATCGTAAAAGTACACGAAACTACGTTGCGAAAAAGGTGAAACAACTTTCAATATATGTATTTTTTTCGGTCCATTTGCGACATATTTGTTATTCATTTTTTGCGTTTATATTTAGGCTTATAGAATTCGGCGACACCCCGTCTAGTGCATTGACTCTTGAAGAGTTTATGACCGTCGATTTAGAAGAGGAACAAGATCCACCGGCTTTCAAAGCCGCGCGGAAAAAGGACCGGGAGCGATTGCAAAGGGTATGTACAAAGATTTTTTTATTAATAAATAGACTGTACATTTAATGTTTGAATAATTTAAATAAAATATGGATTCAATTCTCTTTTGCAGTTAGAAAATATAGATACAGAGATAAATGAGTTGCAAGCCGAGATTGATAAACATTTAGAAGATCGTAAAGTAGGACGACCAAAAAAGCGGAAAAATGGTAAGTAATATCAGCTGTATCATTTAGTGTATAGTGATTAAAAAAGAAATTATGAAAATATTTTATATTATTTATTTAAACTACATTTTTAAACAAGTGTAATTAGATGAAATTAAAATTTGTTGCCTTCTTAGCCGAATGTATAGAGAGAGAAGACACGGAACGATTTGTTCAAGAAAGTAATTTAGACGTAATTAAACATTATGTGGAAAATAACGTCGACGATCCCGACAGCGAAAGTCACGACTCTGAGATGAATAGTAGCAGTCGTAATTTAATTACTGGTCTTGGTGTGTAATAAAAGATTTACAATAAGATGCAATTATTGTGTATGATAAAATTTGTAATTTCTGCCATTATTTTAAGGTCCAAATATTGCTTCCATAATATCGACAACTGAGAGAGAACAAGATGGAAAGGATCAATCAAATATAACATTTGATACTGTGAGTACGGAACTCTATATTGTAGTAATGATTCTCGTTAGAGGAAATTAAAAAAAAAATATATAAGACTACTATTATTTATGAATGTAGCACTTTAGAGTATACTATTTTAGAATTCGGGTGAAATCGACATTGCTGATTTGGATGATGATGAATTAGATACTTACATCATGTCGGAAAAGGAGGCGCAGTTTAAGCATTCATTATGGAATAGAGTGAATTCTGTATACCTAACTCAACAAAAAGAAAAAGAGGAAAGGCGGCAGAAAGAAAAAGAAGAAGGTAAGCCAGAAAAGAAAAGGCGGCGGACCACTAAACGTAACAAAAATCAGGCACCGGCAAATACTGCAGGTAATAATTAATTAATTAACGTACACGTGTAAGTAAGATTAACAAGTATTTGTTTTTATTTAAATAATTATCTATTTTAATAGGAGAAGCAATAGAAAAAATGTTACAAGAAAAGAAGATTTCATCTAAAATTAATTATGACGTGTTAAAGAGTTTAAACGTTACTGTAAACTCGTCAAGCAAGGAGTTACAAAAAACTAGAGAAATTGTTCATGCTAAAGAAGAAACAGATAATGCCTCGAGTTCCAGTAGAACGTTAGTATAACTTATATAATTACAATAGTTGTAATCGTGAAGTAACTTTTCCGTATTATTTTTGATTGACTTCCATATAATTGACAATTAAATAATTTCTTTTATATAATACAGACAGGGGCTTCTTAATTCACTAAAATTGGAAGATAAACCTGTAACATCAACAGGAAGATCTCGATCAGGTAAATCATCGGAAGTAGCAGTGATGAAGAAAGAAAATGTACAAATACCTATTGAATCACAAGCCGAGGTCACAGTGGAGTCTGTGCTTTCAAAAACAGAGATTTGCGATATGGGTAATTTCGTGGTTTTTATACATATATTATGAACTTATATTTTCTACGAACAATGTCGGGTTAACAAAATTATTTGTATGAATTAGATGAAACTGATGATTATATCGATGAGGATGCTGAAGCAGAAGCTGATGCTGATCCTACAGAGATGACTGTTGGACAAATGCTGGAACAGCATGGATCCGAAGAAGAAAATGATTATGGATATGGATATGAAGACGAAGACTATTAAGTATTTATAATTTTATAAGCTATTATTTATTGCGATTTTAGCGCGCTATTAGATCTTAATCAATACACTGCAGATTTTTATGCATTTATGGCAAGTGCAGAGTAGTAAAATGCAAGAAGACGTATATATATTAATAGTCTTTTTATTCTATTTTTACAATAAAAAATCCTTTAAACGATAAAGGAAACTTTTTTCAATTCCAATTTCTGTAAAATATATGAAAATGAGAATTTGCATAAAGATCCGCCAATGAATTAGACATGACTATATTTTGTCATGTATGTATGTACAAAAGAAAGCATTTAATAAACATCATTCACGATATCGATTCAGCAGATTCTTCTGAATAAGTCTGTGCCCCTGGTTTATTGTTTTAGGTCCTGATTTTACTATAATTAATGTTTTTCGGCGACCCTGCAAACTGCAAGCATTCAAACTGATAGTCCAAATTGGCTGTCGGTAATTTGGCTAATAGTTTGAGCGTTTTGCCACCAACCTAATTGGCGTTGTACGAACTCCAATCTGAGTTTCATTATTTTTCCAAAAGAGGCGACACAGACACCCCGCATCTGCCTAATGCAGGGCACCTTGACATTAATTTTGGCAAAATTAGGACATGCAAAACTAAACTAAATGATATTACCGGTGGCCTATAGCTATTATGGCTGTACAGTGAAAACAAATGTATTGCAGGCAGTGTATGATACATAACCAATTAACCAGAGTTATAATCGGAGTATGATTTTAAAATTTTTTTAATCACCGTATTCTAGAGTTTCTGGTAAGGACATGGGAACACAATTTTCCTATCATTAGTATTTATTGTGCACAGTACTTGACGTCTTGTTATGGCTCCAAAAGTAAAATTATTGTTTAATATCTAATCTGTTGTATTGGTATGGTTTCATATAGTCAAAAATCTTAAATCTGGCAGAAGTTTGTTAACATGGCTAGTACTTCTTCAGAGCAAAATAATATCGCACAAAAAACATGGGAAATGTCAAATAATATTGAGATGATCAGCACTATTGATGAAATTTATAGATATGATCGGAAAGAGCAACAGGACATATTGGCTGCAAAGCCTTGGGAAAAGGAGTATGTTCCTTTCATATATCAATAGAATAATATTATTTACTACTTATTACTTATTAGATTTTTCAATATATATATATATATACATTAATTTTACAGCCCACACTTCTTTAAAGATATAAAAATTTCTGCGTTGGCATTATTAAAAATGGTTATGCATGCTCGTTCTGGTGGCACTTTGGAAGTGATGGGTCTTCTTCTTGGAAAAGTAGCAGCAAATACAATGATTGTTATGGATTCTTTTGCATTACCTGTGGAAGGAACAGAAACAAGAGTTAATGCTCAAGCCCAAGCTTATGAATATATGTCCGCTTATGTAGAAGCTGCTAAGCAGGTGATTTTGATATTTCAGAAAATATTGAAAGTATTATTTTAAAAGAATATCAAATTTGAGAATCCATTCCTTTTGTATACAATATCTGTGCAACATTCGAGGTTCATTGAATCGAATGGTTTTAAAGTTCTATCCGATTTTTATTCTGGCTGTATGGTAAAATTAATGTTTATAATTTGTATCTGCAAGTTATGTTTATATTTTGCTATTGAAAGGTTGGAAGACAAGAGAATGCAATTGGATGGTATCATAGTCATCCTGGATATGGTTGTTGGTTATCAGGTATCGATGTATCTACTCAGATGCTCAATCAAAATTTTCAAGAACCTTTTGTTGCTATTGTTATCGATCCTGTGAGGACAATATCTGCTGGAAAAGTTTGTTTGGGTGCATTTCGAACTTATCCAAAGGTAATATATTTGATATAGACGAATAAAAAAATCTTGTGAAAAGCAATAAGAAATTTAATGAACTATCTGATTCTTTTATAGGGATATAAGCCAGCAAATGAAGAACCATCGGAATACCAAACAATTCCATTAAACAAAATCGAAGATTTTGGAGTTCATTGCAAACAATATTATTCATTAGAAGTGTCTTACTTTAAATCATCATTAGATAGGCGATTATTAGATTCTTTGTGGAATAAATATTGGGTGAACACATTAAGTTCTTCCAGCCTTTTAACAAATGCGGACTACACAACGGGACAAATATTTGATTTATCGGACAAATTAGAACAGTCAGAAGTTGCACTTGGAAGAGGATTTATTTTAGGTGGAACGGATCCCCATGATCGATGTTCGGTAGAAAAACTAATTAAAGCAACAAGAGACAGTTGTAAGACAACAATTGAAATTATCCATGGTTTAATGGCACAA